CCAAGTATTTTCCATATTGTAATTTATATTATTCATGTTTAATGTTTTTAAGAAAATGGACGTTTTAGCCCAAATGACAATTCTCTCTTCCCGTCACCCCCACAGATATCTAATTACTCCCTTCCTCCTTCTCTCCTGTGTGTGTGTATATTTGTATCTATGTGTGTTTTTGGAGATATCACAAATAAATTTTTTTCAATGCTTCAAAACAGAAACTTGAGAGTTAGATTAGAATATCCACAAACCGGGAAAACGTTGAGTTCTAGTCCCACCTTAGCCATGAAAACCGGCTGGGTGACTTTGAGGCAGTCACTCTCTCTCGCCCAACATACCTCACAAGGTTGTTGTGGGAAAAATAGGAGAAGGAAGGAGTATTAAGTGTATTTGCTGCCTTGACTTACTTGTAAAGTAATCAACGTGGGATAAAAATCTAATATTCATGTGAAGGAAAAATATGGCTCTGCATTTCTGCCTCCACTTATGAAATGAATGGCAGCACTGTAAATATGGCTCTACAGAAATGCCCACAGTGTATACACTTTTGATGCAGAACCTCTTTACAACTAACCTGCCCTTTTAAGCAAACGTTGTGATAGTGCTTTCTAATCCAGGTATGGGAATAATCTGAAACAAGTTCTTCTTTGAACTGAGTTCGGCTGCTTTCACAATAGAAATGATTAGTAGTGATAACAGACAAATAAATAAACATATCCTTACAGTAATTTTGATAATAATATAACAGTATTCACACCATTGTAACATAGTACCCGTCTGGGAAGAAGGATACTTTTGTTTTTATTCAATTTTTTAGGGATTGTTGTGAGCTTCCTAGAGTCATTGAATGATATAAGTCCTGCAAATAAGGAAATAAACTGTGATGCACAGAAACCTATTTCTCAAAAAAAGAGCTAGCTTCTATGCTGTCTTCTGTCAAGTGCAAAGCCACCAATCCATTGTGCTCAAAGGCAGGCCATGATGCTTCAAAAGAAAAAATGCAAATAAAGCAAAGCTAGAATAAGACTAACTTCCTTCTGATGAGCCGCAAGTGAAATGTCAGGTTACAGTTAATCAAGCGATATGCAACCCTAACAGAGCTGACTTGATGAAACTATTACTTTTTGACCTCCTTTTCAGGATGCCTCGGCCATCATTTTGATAGTGCTGTGGTTTGTGCCATGTGACCTTTATTTTTATTTCTTTCTTCAACCGGTATGGCTGTCCATCTCAAGCAAGTGGTTCTAGGTGGTAAGCAATCATGAAATCAACTAAAAACCAATTTACAGGAACAGTACAAAAAAGAAAAATTAAATACATAGGGCAGCTGAGAAATTTGATAATCCAATATAGGTTTTAGTCCTTCTTCTGGACAAGCCCTTCCTTCCTTCCTTCCTTCCTTCCTTCCTTCCTTCCTTCCTTCCTTCCTTCCTTCCTTCCTTCCTTCCGTCCGTCCTTCCTTCCTTCCTTCCTTCCTTCCTTCTTTCTTTCTTTCTTTCTTTTTCTTTCTTTCATAGATATACTGCCCAATTCCTAGCCACTCTGGGTGGTTCACGAAGTAAAAAACACAGAAGGAAATAGTAATAAAACCATTAAAGACAACTGGACAAAAAGATAACAAAAGGCAGTAGTAATGAAAATATGCATACACTGCTTAGAAGAGTCTTGGATCAGCCTAATTAAAAGCCAGGGCAGATAGCCAAGGCTTAAGGCCCTGCAAATTGTCAGTAGAGCTGCCTGAATTTAATACCAAATCATAGGAAGGAACAATACCTACTTGAGACATACATTTACACGGATTCAGATAGCAGACAGCAGCTGAGGAATGAATGAAAGACAGGATGTGTTCCTAATTCTCCCCACCCCTACTCTACAAGAAAGTGAAAAAAGAGAAGGTATTTATTTGTGATGAACCGGCCTAATTAGAAAAGAACACGTGTGGGAGAACAACACAGTTCATCTTGCCCCTATATGAATCTTCTGGGTTTAGGCAGTAGATCTGTGGCTGCAAATGAATTTTAAAAAACATGGCTAAAATAATCAAACTGTATAGTTATTAAAATAAGGTCTTACTGCTTCTAGGCAAGGCCTGAAGGTATAATATTTTATTACACATGCTTTAAATTTGTACTTCCTCTTTAGTCAGATTACACACACACTGGGAATCCAGTAAGTTATAAATTCATATTCCCATCTTTGCTTGACAGGTGTGTATTAAGGATGAAAGGATGCCATAATAATTGCATCGGACGCGTCACCAGGAAACCATGCCCACCCCATTGCCGGCAATGGCAAAAAAGCTCCGATACGTTGCGCAATGTCACGTGATGTCGCAAATTTGATATTTCTGAATTAGACAGTAACAAGAATAGATTGTACTAAATCCATTTGCTTTCACCTATCTTTTCTATCATGATAGTCAAGTGATTTCCTGGAAAGGGAATCCATTATGTAAGTAATGTGTAATGTGAGTAATGTGTAGTCCATAGTCCAGTATCTTTGAAAGTTGCTGTGGCTAGATATATTTTGCCACTGTTCCCTAACCTTGAGACTTCAAGATAATACGCCGCATTTCTTATATTTTGCTTATGTTATATTTATTTTTGTGCATATGACTCCAACATGAAATGGAGATGGGATCAAACAGCTTCCCCAAAATCATCTGAATTCACTCCAAGTTCATATTTAGGGCATCCTGGGGAAAGGATAATGGAGCACTGGATGTTCAGATACATATGCCAACTTGCATCCTCTGAGCACACTGAGATGGTCAGGATCCCAACAGAGTCCCAGAAGTTTGGAAGTGTGGGAAGTCAGCCCCCCCACCAGAGAAGGAAATATTAAAAGGGCAGAATATTATATTTCTTCAAAGGATCTTAAAGAGGCAGAAAAGCATGCCAGTTTTTCTTAATAGCCCCAAGTCTCCTTCCCCAAGCAGAAACCAGCTCTGTAGAAATGCAGATGTAAATAATCCATTCAGGAAGGTTGTAGCCCTCCAGCTAGAAGCTTAGGAAGACAAAGAAACCTAAAATCTACATACCCCACCCAAACTCTAGGACAGGACATAATAGGATTAACCCATAGATGCCAAAAGGGCACACTCAGATTCAGGTCAAAGTGCATGACACAGGAAATACAAAGCCTCAAACAGGAACAGAAAATAACTCCAAACAAAAGTCCAAGAGGGTATGAAACCCACTCCCTACTACATGTGGGCTCTCTTTTCTTCCAGAGCCATCTTCCTGTCTGGCTTTCCTCTTCAATAAACTGCAACTTTCTTTCTAAAGTAGTCGCCATGTTGTTTATTCCCAGCTTGGACTGAACCATAAAGTCTTCATCAGAAGGAACACTGGATTAGGAAGGGTGATGTGTGTGTGTGTGTGTGTGTGTGTGTGTGTGTGTGTGTGTGCGCATGCAGTGTGGCATTCTCTGTAAGATTCCTTCTTAGAACTTAGTAGAGAAAACATATGGACTGATTGGATCCTGCAGGTTTTTTATTGGAGAACTGGATCCTCCTAGTCTGGTTCTCCCTCCTCCCACTGTGCTGACTATACTTTTACTCCCCAGTTTTTTTAACCTTGTTTTTCCTTTTCCTCCTTGCCAATGCTGCCTGCTTATAGCCCATATCCTCCCCATTCCACTGAACCCCACTGAGCCTCCATACAATGCTCTATGAAGAGCACCCCTGAGCCAAAGCCAAGCAAGTGCCATACCCTTGGAGAAATAAACTTATTTCATAAACCGTTAAGAGTTCAAAGGGGTTCTTTAGGCTGAGTCCAGTCCTTGATTTCTGCAGGAATCCAGATAAAAGTGTCACCGGCTTTGGAGAGTATTCCAGCCTCTGCTTAAAGGCAACCAGCAAGTGGGAAAGGCTGCTTCCAGCAATGGCAATCGACTTCTGAGCCAAGCTGACATGACCCTAAAGAGAACTTTGTCCATGTTTAGGAAAAGAGTTATTATATTTGGGGAGGGGCTTCTTTGTTTTCTGTATATGGCAACCTTTTCCCAAGAGAGCCTATTGAGACGAGAACCCATGCATATTCTTCTACATACTGGAATGGCAATTTCCCCCCCCCCCCCAAACTGGTGCTTTTCTGCTTGGGGTGCAGCACATGAGATCCCGAGTAGAGATTATGGGTTTTGTAGTCTGGCACAACTGGAAGGGGGTGGTTTTGGGATGGAAGCATGGAGCATTCTTAAGACAGCCTCAGATGTTTCAGCTGCATCCCAGGCTCACGTAGCTCTGGCATTGGGCAATTATCCTGGAGCTCCATTAAATGAAAAATTAATTTATGAGGTCCTCCTCAAATAAAGTAACTTCGTTTAGTTCAAGGTTGGGGAGTAAATAAATACGCCGTTTTGTTTCCATAGTTTTGAAGCTATAAATTATAGGATATCTCAAACACTTGGTGGACTTTGACCCCGAAAACCTGTATGTTCCAAACATTATGTCTGCCTTGTGGTTTTTAATTGAAGCACAACTGTGATCCTCTCCAACTGCTCACGATCCTGGAGAGGGTGAGGGGATGGGCTGAGACCCACAGCTCGAAAATAACTAACGTTAACAGTTAAAGGAGATCACAACTCATTTGAGCACGATTCAACCCTACGTTTTCAAGGCAGGCTGGATTTCAGGCCATTCCAACAGGCAGGGGCTGCCGTTAGGATGGTTTACGTGTGCGTGGGCGTCGGGCTGGCAGCAAAAGATTTGCGGAGCCCTGAGAACGATCCACGTGCTCCGGCTTTTGCGTTCCAAAATAAGAACCCGTGTTTTCTTCCTCTTCTCCTTCGTCCAATGTAACCAACACGCCGCCAAAGTTTGAGAAAGGGGCGGGGAAGAGAACTCGGACTTCCCCTCCCGCCGCTGGTTTTCAATTGCCTGATTTCTCAGAAATCAGGCTCCGCTAAACAGCCGCCTGCCTCGAAGCGCTGATTGGCCGCGGTGCAAGGCTTCCGGAGCGCTGATTGGTTAAGCTGGCCGCACTCGTGTGCCCGCCGGGGGGGATTCCCGGCGACCTGTAGAATAATATAGGCGTCTCCTGGACAGCCGCCTGCAGAAGCCGGGAGTGTCTTGGACCGAGCAGAGCTGGAGCCTGCGCGGGAAGACGCAGTCGGTCGCTCGGGTGCTGTTGAAGGGTGTGAGCCTACATCAAGTTCTGCAAGGTGGGTCGCGGGTCAGCTGCTGGCGGCATCGCGCTAAATCGAGGCGGGCGCGGTGCAGTTCTGTGCAAGTCCCACTGGGCACCCTCACCTGGATAACTTTCATCCACCGGAGCACAGTTGCGTGGTCTCGCAGGGATGAGGCGGTGGGGTGGCAGAAGCGCTCTGAAGTGCACCGAGGCTAGGATCGGAGGTTCAAGTAGATTCGCCGGGGTTTATTTGCAGATTATAATTCTTCTAGCGCTGCGATGAAGTGCAGGTCCGCTTTCCGCATTAGCCCCTTTTTAGACGGGGAGAAATGTCGTTTGGAGACATCCGAAGCGGTTAGCCGTTTGCAGTAAGAATTTCTTTAAAAACTTCCTGGCCAGTTGTGACCTACTCCGGGGGCCGAGAGATTACCTCGTTGCAAAGCGCCTTCAAGGATGGAAATGTTCTCAAAGTACCCGGGGTGGGTGGGTGGGTGGGTGGGTGCGGTGACTTCTAGTCCCGCCATAGGCAAGAGTGTTGGCTGGGTGAGTTTGAGCCAGTCCGTCTGTCTCAGCCCAACCTACCTCACAGGGTGGTTGTTCTGGAGAACATAGGTGGAGGAAGGAATATTCGTCGCCTTGAAGTTCTTTATAAAAAAAATAATAAAAGGCGGGTTATAAAGAAATAAATAAAACGTATCCCTACCAGTTGAGACCGAGGAGTCGGGGGAAGCGAGCGAGGGCCCCTGCGGTGTTTGCAGAAGCGCGCGCGCATAGCGGCTTCAGTAGAATTTAGCGCAAGGTGCAGTCAGCGCTCCGGTTACTCTCGGTAAGGGATCTCTGGCGAAGTGAGAGGCGAACGTGTTGTGTTTTATTTTTAAATTGCAACAGTAATCGTTTTATTCTCAAAGTTGCAAAAAAAAAAAGTTAGTGGCTTGGGTCCACCCTCTTTCTATCCGCGTTTTGCCACAGAGAATGTTGTGACCCGTGATTTACAGTAAATGGGTGGTGTTGCTTCTTTTGTTGTTTGGACCAGGAAGTAGAGCTTGGAGAGAGAGAAGAGACAGAAGGGGGGGGTGAGGAGGGGAAGGCCAGTTGTTAGCTCTGTATCTCTTGAGTGCTGTCCAGAAGTTGCAAAGGAAAAAGGAATTCTAAAACAAATCGGAATCTTGGAAAGGATTTTGGAAAAGACTAGATAAAGGAATAGAGATATCCAGTAAGTTGTATTCTTGAATCCTTTGCAAGGATGAATACAATTGTAGTGGAACAGCAGAATCAGAAACAGACCAAGATTGTGCTTTACTGATAACCCCCCATTGAATTCAGCATAGAAGTTTTTTCATGGAAGTAAATACATGATTTGCAGGTGTCAGCCTTAAACTTCTTAGACAGAGCAAATGCATGGAGCAGATAGTTTTGCTTCTGCAACAAGCGCATGAAAGTGCAAGAATGCCTTTGCTTCACTCTTTGGAAATACCCTTTGCACCAGAGCCATGGGAGAACAGTGCTACACGGAGGAATATGCTTTGCAACAAGGAATCTGGACACCAGCCAGAGCTGAATTACAAGCTTGAATTGGCTTGGGGTAGGGAGATTTGTAAGTCCATGTTACTATATCCCTAGTATTAGTTGGAACATAGAAGATTCAAAAGGCTGGTTGAAAACCTCTAGAAAGCAGTAGATACTCTTGACCTTTTTCTTCATAAATGCTCTTGTTAAGGATTTAAACAATAAAGATGAGATCCTCTTTATTAAAGTTGAACTAATTAGTCTTTTCCCCTGAATGAGTTTATACAGTCTGAAACTACCTGGCCCCAATCCAAATCTTGCAAACAGGAAATCATCAAGCCTTGACAACATTCCTAGTGCAGGATCTCATGCTGTTTTATAAAATTTCCCCTAAGAGTAAGGGCCATTTTCAGTCCTGACTCTTACTACCACACATAAAGGCATTCTGCATCTGTTAGGCATTTCAGGGAAAGTTCACTAGCTAGAAATATCATTAAGCTTAAAAAGAGTTGTCCAAACAGAATATTTAGGAGGTAATGGATCCAGAGGGCAATGTGATGAAAGCAGTGGTGGGATTCAGCCAGTTTGCACCAGTGGTGGGATTCAGCCGGTTTGCACCAGTAGCTAATTTTTTGTTCCCAGGCCCAGAATGGACTGGACAGGTTGTTCACATATTTGAATCCCATCACTGGATGAAAGCCGCACTGAGGTGTGATCCAAGCCATACCTGTTTTATAGATGAGCATCATGAAAAAAAAAATGGAACTTCCGGTACATTTTTGTCATTCTTACAAAAGCAGAAACCTCCTGTGGACACCAACATGCAGACAGTGCAATCACCCTGCAAGTCCCCTCCCTCCCAAAACCAGGATAGCATACAGTGGTGGCAAACCTATGGCACGGGTGCCAGAGGCGGCACTCAGAGCCCTCTCTGTGGGCATGCACGTCGTCGCCCCAGTCCTAGGCCTTCAGCTGGGTTTTTTCGTTTTAGGCCTCTTGCTGCCATGTGCAAAAAAAAAAGGTTCAATCAATCAATTTCAACTTGGGGGAAAAAAAAGATCTTGCAAAGTTGGAATTGATTGATTGAACTTTTTAGTCCCAACTTTTTAGTCCCACCCAGTCTGCCGTTACCACTGCAGCCACGCCTACCCAATGGGCCACACCTATCTGGTACTAGACATGGGTCTAAGTGGGGTTTCGGTTGCAGTTTGGGCACTCAGTCTCTAAAAGGCTTACCATCACTGGCATAAGGAGTTTTATTAGAGCTGGGGAGACTCACTGGATGACTGGGCAACAGTTTCTGGAGGGAATTGTGTGCCTGCATTCTTCCTATGTATATATGAGATCTAGTCAGGGTATTTGATGATCTGATTCTGTGCCATATATTGTACCCTAAAAAGCTGTGCCAATGCATCCAGGATGGGGAAAAAAATCTCATTTGTAAAAGATTTGCTAGTTGTTTGGAAATCACTGGGGGGGGGGGAAGGGCAAGATGGAAGCAAGCCATTTCCACTTACCTTTTGCAAATGAAAATTATTTTCTTAGCTTTTATTTTTAAAGTTATCTGTATGAATAGTTTGTGTTCAGCTTGGTCTGACAGTGCCTTCTGAAAATTAAGTAGTTGTTCCATGAAGAAGTATTTCCAGTTTGGTTTTCATCCAAGCTATAAACATTTTATAACTGATCAATGGCTGTAGCCACCAATAGTCAGTTAAATTTGTAGCATCCTTAAGAAGTGATGCTTCAAGAAAAGAACTGTACTATATCAAAAATATTAAGAACCTGGGATAGGCAAATGTTAATAATAATAATAATAAATATAATTATTAGATTTATATCCCATTAAGTAGATCCCATATGACCATCTAAGTGACTCTGGGCAGTTTCCAGATTAAAAGTCATAAAACCATATAAAAAGACTCAATTAAAATAGAATTAAAACAGAATGAGAAACAAATTCAAAGTAAAAGATAAATTAAAAGACAGAGAGAATGCCCTCAAGGCACCAACCATTCCAAGGTTGTATGGTATGAATTATATGTAATCCCGAGGTGAACATGCCTAGATTCCTACTTCCTATTTTCCCACAACAATCCACAACAATCCTGTGAGGTGGGTTGAACTGAGAGAGAGTGACTGGCCCAAAGTCACCAATGGCTTTCATGCCTAAGGCGGGAGTAGAATTCAGTCTCCTGACTTCTAGGCCAGTATCTTGACCACTAACCAGATTGTCTTTTTTACAGTATCATGTAAAAGCAACATAACAGTGTAATACTCACAATGTGATGATACTATTAAGCTTTTTCTTAGGATCTTGTATTCTGTGAAGCACTGTACAGACAGATGGTGTTGCATGAATAAAAAAACACTGCTTTCTTTATAGGTAAATTAGAGAAAAACAGATTTCAATAAGCAATTTTGGGGTTACAATATGAGCTATTCTGGTCTCCATGATATTCCTACAAGTTAGAGATTTTGTCTTGTGCTTACAATTCCTGGTTTTTTTTCTTTTTTAGAGCCAAAATGCCACAAAGGATGCGCATGAGACCTTGGCTGGAAATGCAGATTAATTCAAATAAAATTCCTGGGCTTCATTGGCTCGATAAGGTACAGAAAACTTTATTCATGTACTGTCTTTCAAAAGGCTATCTTTGTGTACTTTTCTTGCTTCAAGTTTAAAACAAGGTTATTATAGAAAATGAAACATTATAGTGAAGAAAGTAGTGAGGCTTGTTGACTACTTTCCTCACTGTAACTATCATAGAAAAAAAGTGCCATAGGAAAGGAGCAAAAATATTGAAAAGAAATTGAGAATGAAAATTGAATAAATGTTGATGTTAACTTGATAATATGCTCTTGTGCTTTTCTAGCTTTTTAAAATTCCAAATAGTTGAGATATGTAAGAGATTCAGGCACAGCTAACAAGCCCATTTCTCTGTGGTTAAGGCTATGTCCAGAATATTTACATTTGTTCTAGTAAACTCTAGGGCAGTGGTGGCGAACCTGTGGCACGGGTGCCAGAGGCAGCACTCAGAGCCCTCTCTGTGGGCACGCACACCCGTTGCCCCAGTCCTAGGCCTTCAGCTGGGTTTTATAAAACCTTTTTGCTTTAAGCCTCCGTGTACAAAAAAAAAAAAAAGGTTCAATCAGTCAATTTCAACTTCTCACAAAAAAAAGATCTTGCAAAGTTGGAATTGATTGACTGAACTTTTTAGTCCCACCCAGTCTGCTGTTACCACTGCAGCCACGCCCACCCAATGGGCCACACCCACCCAATGGGCCACACCCACCTGGCACCTGACGATGCATAAGTGGGTTTTGGGTTGCAGTTTGGGCACTCGCTCTCTAAAAGGTTCGCCATCACTGCTCTAGGGAAAGAAATCAATATGTCTTTGTTTATTTTGTTTTATACAACACCTGGTTCTGAAATGCTACGCTATTAAATTGGAGGCTCTATACCAGGGGTTCTCAACCTTGGCAACTTTAAGACTTGTGGATTTCCTCAGCCAGCTGGCTGAGGAATTCTGGGAGTTGAAGTCCACAAGTCTTAAAGTTGCCAAGGTTGAGAACCCCTGCTCTATACAATAGACAAGGTAAATGCTACACAAAATAAAGCATCAGAAATGTAGGGTTGTCTACTACTTGGTTAATTCACAGGTCAGGGATTGTTTTTCATTTTCAGCTTTCTACCATTTTTCTTGATTTTTGTTTCCTCTGGGCATTTCAGTGATGCTTATTCAGGACTGTATTTTTTTTCAATTGCAGAAAGAGAAAAAGTTCCAGATCCCTTGGAAACATGCCGCTAAGCATGGGTGGGAACTGGAAAAAGATGCCTGCCTGTTCAAAAACTGGGCTGTTCATACCGGTATGTACTATGTATGTGCTGTTTTGTTCTGGTGATAGAGAAACTTTTCTGGAGACTCATACGGTTACCATATTTGGGGAAGGAATCATCATATTAATGCTAGCCAAAAGGTTCCCTTTTCCTTCCCTCCCTCTTTAGGCAAAGAGTTTTTAGTTCCTTCCTTGAGTTCTGTGGTCAGTATACTAATAGGGTGTTGCATGCTGTTAAAAATTTGTTTCAGAATGCCCCAACAAGCTCAGTACCTTCTTAAATCATGCAACATTTTTTAGGCTTGCATGGAAGTCTAACAAAGAATGAGCCTCTTTAAACACTTCCTCTAAATCAGTGTTTCTCAACCTTGACAATTTTAAGGCATGTGGACTTCAACTCCCAGAATTCCACAGCCAACAATGCTGGCTGTGGAATTCTGGGAGTTGAAGTCCACATGCCTTAAAATTGTCAAGGTTGAGAAACACTGTTCTAAATAGTTTTTCAAGCAAGTATAACTCCAGCATTTACTAGTCACAGCAACTGGAAAGACACCCCCCCCCCTCAAAAAAAAGAATGTTGATAATATGTTTATGGCCTGCCTATTCATGAGATTGTGCTATTGTATAGTATTTCCATGTCAGAGTTACAAGCTTCCTAAGACTTTTGGCCACCAAGTCTGCATGAATGGTTGATGTGTGAAAAATAGGACAAGTTTTATCACCTTGGGAGATAATGATGGGCTGGTCATTCTCTGTATGTATGTACAGTACTATACTTGTAGTAGGGAGTAGATTTCTGGTTTTGCTGCTAAATACTACATTGGCATGTTGACAAAACCTCTCTTTACAATGAACAGTCAGTTGTTCATTGTGAAGTGTTTATTGAATCTTCCTTAATGTATGTTGTTATAGAAAGGTGATGGTGATAATAGTACAACTGCCTTTTAAACCTTTCTGTATTTTTCTACTTCCCCCCCCCCTTGATTTTTGGTTACCAAAATTGGCTCTTTTTTTTGTAAAAGATTTTTTTTTTTATTTTCAATTTTTCATTACATTCATAAAGAGTACTTCAGATAAAGAATAAAGTAAATTTATACACACAACTTTCGGTATTGCTCACCCATTTCCCCCCAAACCGCATCCACCCTCTAACCTCTTCTCTCACTTCCCCCTTTCCTTCTTCTTCCTCACTCCCCCTCTCCTCCTTCTCCTCAACCTTCCTACTTATTTCTCCCCTTCCTCCTATCTTCTCACTCCAGATGCAGTCCAGGGGAAATAAAATTGGCTCTTGTTATATATTGAAAGACTTTGATATTTTTCAAATGTATGTATTTAATCACAACAACCAATGAAATATCTAGTTGAGGACCATAAAACATTTTCCAGTGACATAAAACTGAAAATACCCAACACCATAATGAAAAGACACACTTGCCAGCAGTCTTCATTAGTGTTTCAGCCCCAATGTCTGGGGGGAAAACCAAGCCTTCAAGGCCTTCAAGAAAGTCATCAGAATCAGGGCCATCTGGACTTAATTTCTGTATCCTTTCACAAGCCGTGATTCACTAGCAATAAATAAATAAGAACTTGTTTATAGAATAGCTAGATATAGTTAGTGTCACATAATCATATATAGCTTGGGACCAGTGGGCTCATTTTGTGATGCCTAACTTCTGATTTCAGTTAATACCTTCAATAACTAAGGTTTGTATATATGAATTACAGTGAACTGTACAGACTGAAAAAATTATTGTCAAGCAAACAGAAGTGACAGTGGGTTCTTCTCAGTATCTTAGTGTAATGAGATTTAGGATCCCATTAGCTGGATGTGGCCTTTACTTTTTTTTTTTTGCATGCCTAGATTTATTTACACCATCTGTCTTTTTACAGGGAGATACAAAGATGGTGATGTAGACCCTGATCCAAAAACATGGAAGGCAAATTTCCGTTGTGCCATGAATTCCTTGCCTGACATTCAAGAAGTGAAGGATCAAAGCATTAGCAGAGGACCCGGTGCTGTTCGAGTCTATAAGATGCTGAAACCCACAGTAAAATTAGATAAAAAAGGTATTACTCAAAACTTACGGATGTGTATTATTTCCAATACTTGTAATATACAATTTGTCACGCATCATCTGCATTTGCAAAATAGCAATTTAGTTGCTTCCCTTAGAAGTTGAAGTTACTTTGTCTGGATCAACTTGAGTGATGGATGGTGAACTAGTTCTGCTCATTTGTAAATTAGATTTATAGAGAATAGCTACATTTTGCTTTCTTGATTATTGACAGCTGTCAATACCAGTCACTGGGAAAATGAGTCATTAGGCGATTATGGGATGAATAGGTAATTTTCCTCAAGTCCTGCTTTTGGATTTTTTCTATCCATTTTTTTTTTTTTTTTTGCTTAAATGGGGGGAAAGGATATGGAATTAGATAGATTGTGTCTTAAGGAAAGGCTTCTTGTTAGGCCTTTAGATTCTCAAAGTTAACAATCAATTCACTAGAAGTACATTCTTGGCAGTAAGAGCTACATAGAATCATTTTCATGACAGCCATAGATTGTCTCATAGCCAGTCTATGGCTATCTTTCTAAGTGTGTGAATTTCTACCGAAATCCATAGAAAAAAATTCCAAGAATGGCTATTGCTTTGTGGCCAAGAAAATTACACTATTGCAAACTTTGAGAAGAAAATATTATAAGATGGATAACACCCGAATTGTGTGGCAGTTGTATTGTCTGTCACCCACTCTCTTTTAAAAAGTGTTTATTCTAAGCCTGTGTTTTTGTTTTGTTTTTTCAAACAGAAAAAAAGTCAAGGTCTCCAAAAAGCAAGAGCCCAAGAAAGGTATGTGTGTATGTGTTTAAAAGATTTATATGGCTGCCCATCCAAAACCAAAACTTGAGGCAATTGGCCACAACAATAATATATCTAGAATTATAAAAATCATAAAACCTATCATAAAAACAATAAAATATGTAAAGCCATCCATACAACATATGTATTTTCTTCAATAGCTTACGTAAAACATGCATGTGAGTTATTAAAAGGGCACAGATTCATGGGTATTTGCAGGGCAGATGTCAAAACCTGCAAGGTGACTGGCCCAACTGTGATAGAAATTGTGCCTGCCATCTTGTAGATTTGAACCCTGCTCTTCCCCTGAACATGCCGCTGTCCAGCTTTCATATAGAGGGTACTTCCTGTCTCTCTGCATCCATTGAAAACCTTCCTATTGACAATATGTTGTGCAAGATGCAAAAAGATGGCTGCTGGCAGAAATCATTCCAGTTGAGGGAAATACCTGTAGTTCTTGACTTACAACCATTCATTTAGTGACCTTTTGAAGTTCCAATGGGGCTGAAAAAAAGTGATTTTTGACTTATTTTTCACACCTAAAATGATTGCAGTAGCTCTGCGATCATGTGATCTATGACAGTTTGCAGCGTCCTGGGATCATATGATCCCCTTTTGAGACCTTCTGAAAAGCAAAGTCAGTGGGGAAACCAGATTCACTTAACAACCGTCTTACTAACTTAACAAGTGCAGTGATCCACTGAACAACTGTGGCAAGAAGGGTCGCAGAATGGGGCAAAAGTCATTTAACAACTGTCTTGCTCAGCAACGGAAATTTTGGGCTAAATTGTGGTCATAAGTCAAGGACTACCTGTAGAGAAGCATTTGGGGATTCACATGACATATCTTTAGTTTCTTGATCAATTTTTTGCACGCCCCATCCGGTCCGTAGAAAAACCTCTCCACGGAACCGGTTCCAGGTGCTTTAAAAGACATACAGTTGACATTTTGCCATAATGAGGTGCTTCATCTTTTGCAGTCCACGGACGATATTAAGGAAGAAGAGACGGTCGAAGCAACAAACAGCATTCAGTTGGCTGATGACCACAGTGGCTATGCACTTCCCAGCTGTGCAGCAGAGGACATGGAAGTGGGGAGCACATTTGGTAAGAAACAATATTAATCAGTTGTGTGGGTCTCGCAAGGAAAAGCCGGGCCTGCTGAGTCCATTTTTCAGCTTGCTTGAGTAAAGAAAAGCTAGGCTTCTCAGGGATGCTTCAGAATTAAGACATTTTTCTTTATTTATTTATTCTACACTGACAAACTCCCTACAAACTATTGGAGAACTTCTTAAAACTAAAGAAAATGAAAAGGTTGGATTTATGTGACTGGCTGAAATGGGGTTGATTAGGTTTGTGGCTGAGTATGTGGTAGGAACTCAGATGTTGAGTTAGCTTTTATGTGAAGTTGCGACCATTGACTTAAGGCTGCAATGTCAGTTATTTGTCTGGGCATAACATCTCATGTTTTATTCATCCTGGGTGGGGAGGGGCTATCAATCGTTTTGTTTGTGTGAAACAAAATGGCTTCTTTAGATTGTAGGACAATCTTAGGGAGAAAAAAAACCTCTCTTGCATTGTAAATCTCATACTTTCAATGGACTTTTTGTAGGTCTTCAGTGTGAATTAAACAGTGATGCCTGGAGGAATTACCCACTGGATGTTCAGGCTCCCGACAGCACAGACAACATGTACAGACTTCAGGTTTCACCCTGCTATTCTTCTTCTGAAGGTTAGTATTTAATTGTTTGGAACCTGTGGACAGCTGATTGATCGTAATTGGATTGAGGAACAAAACTAAGAGAAAGGCAGGATTTAGGTTAGTTCCCACATGGGTTGGAGTTTAACTCCCATAATGCCTTAGATAGGCATGTCAAACTCTCAGGCCCGCGGGCATGCTGAAACCCACGAGGCAAATAATTCATCTCACTGAAACTGAAATTCAGATTAAGGAAGGCTGTTTAGATTATCTGTCTACTCTACTTTCTTTTCAAAAAGTCAAAAAAATTCTGTGTAGTCTTATCTGATGCATTCATTCTTGGTTAGAAATAGGTTTTATAAGGTTTTATAAACTTTTATTTAGTTTACTACTGGCCTAACCCAGTGAAAGCTAAGCCCATGTAAATCTCATTAAGAGAATGGAAATATATACCTAAATCTCTCCTGCTGAAATATAGAGCCCTATATTAAGCCAGTGTGAGCTGAAACAGAGGCATTACTTACATGAGCATAATAAATTATCAAATGCTTTCTTTTAATTTTGTCACTGAGTAGAAATGTGTTATTGTTGATAATAGAAAACTGGAAAACATTTTAGTAAATTGAATTCTGAGATTCATTGGAATTCTGAGATTCATTGGATATGTTCCTTTTCTCTCCCCTTCCTTTCCCTGATGGCTTTTTATAACCTCACAATAACTGATGAAGACGAGGATATTCCACTGTATGATGTAAGACTCTCTCTCTTTCTAAATAATTTTGACATTGTAAATAATTTTGGTTTTGGCATTGGGGCAGTACATAAAGTCTAAGGGCAGTATTCAAAGGGGGTGGGCAGGCATGCAACTCTTGGTTAAGAAGGGATACTTTTTAGGGTGTCTTTTGTTGCTTCTGAAAAATATTAAATCATAAGAATCCACAGGAACGTAAGAATGCACAGGAACATAAGAATGCAGCTGCAATCTTTGTTTTGTAACCTACATCTTAGAAAGGAATTAACTGTTTTTGAATTGAACTAGAAAACAGTTTAGATTATTGATCTCATATTTTTCTTCTCTAGCAGATGTTTACCAGCTCTGAGTGGCACCAAAGCAGCGTTGGTGGAAGAGGGTTCCTGTTAAATGAAGGAAAAGTGTTCAACTTAAGTGAAGCTGCAATGCAGAATCTCTCCCTTGACTTTACTTTGCAAGAGCAAGATACTGGCTTTGACATACCAAAACTAGGTATAAACATTTCACTTCTATCTTCATTCAATTTATAGAAATGTACCTGTCTCATTAGAATAGTACTGAATAACAACTCTCCTTTGTCACATACAGATAGTCTTTGGCTTACGCCCACTAAGCCCATTTTATGACCTTATTACCTATGTTAGGTGAATCACTAAATTTGTTATGTGAATCATTCAATCATTAACCAAATTTGGCTACCCTTCCCAATGATTTTGCTTCCAAATGACAATTCCAGGACCCCAGGATGGCTGCATGCTCACATGATTGTGGGGAATGCTGGCTGCAATGTTCACAGGTGTGAAAACTGGTCATAACTCACTTTTTTTCATTGCCGTTGTAACTTTGAATGGTCATTAAATGAATGGTTGTAAGTTGAGGACTATCTTTATAGGCCCTTTATTCTGATTGTTCTACTCACTAATCTCTTTAGGCCAGCATTATAAAATCATGCATTATCTATTATCATATTTCCCGACCATAACAGGGTTCTGGGAGCTACATGCATTGCATTTCATGGAAGTAGTGCTGATCGGAATTATGATTATACGGGGGGGGGGGGGGCTAAGATCTTCTATCTACTCATGCTTACAGTTTTAGACCTCTATCCCATCTCTTCTAATCTAATGAGAGCTCTGTTGGGGGAGGGAAGAAGATCATCACACCCATATATGATTCTGGCAGTTTTATTGAACTTGTGATGGATTCTCTACTATGTTTTCTAGTGAAACCATATTCTAAACGTTTATTTCTCCTTTTTTTTCCTGCAGAAGTAATTCCACACGACTCAAAATCCAGCGCAGAATACACTTTGTTGGATATTCGACACTTTGTGCCCCCTATATCCTGTGGCATTTAAACCTTTTCATCACTAGGCTTGTACTGCTTTGTTTTGAATGCTATTTGCAGTCTTGACAAATTGATCAGTTATTGATACTCTCCAAGTTTAGAGTGTGAAAAGTCTCACTGATTTATGTACAGTATATGTGTGTAGGAATATCTTTGTGATAAAACTCTACTTTTTGTGCCTAACTACCTTATAAAGCCAATTAAGGGCTTGTTTGCTGCTTCTTTCACTCTGTTCATCTATTAGTAGGGATTAGAGTATAAATAATTTTAAACATGGAGAAAGTAAAAGCAGATGGCTTTTCACTGTTGGTAAATTCATATATATTTTAAGCTCATCCAGAGTATAAGCTTAAAATTACCCCCTTGAAGACTAGTGATGCCCTGAGGATAAGGGGAGGGTAAGGTTTCAACCTGATATTTCTTGATTATCTTTTTTTCTTCAAATTTATGCTGGCCTTTAGTCTGGAACCCTATTTTTCCAAACTGTGAAAACTAGATAGTTGTTTGTTCCATATTATAATTCTTCAACATTTTATTTATAGTACATTCCATTGGTTACTTTAGATTTATCTTAGACAATACCTGCATTACATTTTTTCCCAGTGAAAATATGCTTTGAAGTTGATAGGTGATGTATGGATCATTTGCACTGTGCTGAATATAAGAGGGTTCTATCAACTACACCACACATGAAAGAAAAAAAGATTTGCCAGACTGCTAGGCTGCAGCTTAAATTCTTGTACATTCTTTTTGTTTGTACATATGTTGTTGTACATAAAATTTACAATTACAATTGTTTTAATAAAACTTTTAAACATATAAAAGATTACATATGAAGATATGTTTAATTTTCTTTTTTATTACCTATCGTATTACTGAAAAAGAAATTAGGAAAGTATTTTCTTAGCTTGACTAGAGTTTGACACTGAAGACATTTTCAACTAAAGAAATCTCAATAAATAAAAAGGTGCCAGAACTTAAACACCCGCTTTGCCAACCTACAAGGTTCCATCCAAAAAAGGTGCCGGAACTCCCGTTATTTACTCCTATCCATTTGCATTGAATTAATGAAGTTCCTGCTAGGTTCCATCCAAAAAAGGTGCCAGAACTCCCGTTATTTACTCCTATCCATTTGCATTGAATTAATGAAGTTCCTGCTTAACAGTTGGTTCTCAACTTGCCACAATGGAGCCCAACATTTCTGTTGCTAAGCAAGATAATTTTGCTTCCTTGCCACAGTTGTTAAATGTGTTGGTAAACACAGTTGCTAAGTGAATCTGGCTTTCTCTGACTTTGCTTATCAGAAGGTCGCATCACATGACTCTGGGTCCTGCGACCATTATAAATATGAACCAGTTTGACTGTGACCCATGGGAATGCCACAACCTTGTATGAAAAATGCCATAAGTCATTTTTTTCAGTGCAGTTGGAACTTCAAATGGTCATTGCACTAAGATTACATACATACATAACATATGAGCCGTGGTGGCGCAGTGGTTAGAATTCAGTACTGCAGGCTACTTCTGCAGTTTGAGTCTCACTGGCCTCACTGGCTCAAGGTTGACTCAGCCTTCCATCCTTCCCAGGTCAGTAAAATGAGGACCCAAAGTGTTGGGGGGCAATATGCTGACTCCGTAAACAGCTTAGAGAGGGCTGTAAAGCACTGTGAAACAGTATGAAGTTATCGGTAAAGACTGGATTTTCCACAATTCATTACTCTTTGTTTTGTTCTTGGCAGTATGTGTATAAAGTATAAGCTGCAAACAAAGACAGGTACTATTCACAATAGTTTATGTTAAATCAATGATTCAATGATTTAACTGTTTTGGAAAAAAAATCTCTTTAATCCAAGAGTGATTTTCATTTTGAAAACTGAGATTTCCTACTTCACATTTTTCTATTGATAGCACCTCTTCTGATGTTTGCTTACAAATAAATCCCATTCAACAACAAAAGTTTATTACATTATATTTATACTTTTATTATGTTCACTTTATTATGTTTCACTTTATTATGTAGAATATAATTTGCTTCTATTGCTTCCTGCTAATTATTTGTATTGTAACAAAGTTATCTCCTATATACAGGAAACTACAGGAATTATTGAAAAATTGTGTTGCCATCAAGTCAGTGGCTGCTTATATTATAATCTAGTAGGTCTTCAAAACACAAGTTTTCACACTTTCTTCAACATTTAAATTTCTTTGGACTTGGCACAGAGTACAGGAAAAAGTATAACCTATTTTTGTTCTTTATGATGCAAGCTACCCAGAGTGACCTAGTGAAATGGGCAGCATATAAATTTAAAACAAAAAAAATTATAGACTAGGTTACGGTTATTTCTGCTTAGATTGAGTGCAGATCTCACTGTATCAATTCAAATTATGATTATATCTGAATCCATTCACTGCAGATTTCTAAGCTGATGATTCCATGTCAAGTAAACATATCAAGTAAATCAAATGAAATCTACCGTGTTTCCCCGAAAGTAAGACCTGGTCTCTTTTTTTGCCCCAAAAGAGGCACCAGTTACGTGTCTTTTCCATGGTTTCACCTCACAGCAGCAGCACCGACTGTCAGCCCACTTCTTATGCGGCTGAAGGAAATGCCTCTGCAGCTGAGAATGGAGCTCCAGCCTGCATTTCACCATCAGAGGCTTCCAGAAAGGCCTCTGATGGTGAAATGCAGGCCAGGGGGCACCACAGAAGAAGTGGGCCGGCAAGATGAGGCAGGTGTCAATTGATGGGAGGCTTGGCTGCAACAGTAAGCAGGTGCAGGGTGCGTGGGGCAGCTCCACACCCCCACCTAGCTTGATTTTTAGGCATGCACCTCGCCCCCAAACTAGGGCTTATTTTTGGAGTAGGGCTTATATTAGGCCCACCCCCAAAATCAAGCTAGGATTTATTTTCAGGGAAACACAGTAATATGCCTGCCAAGGTAAGAACGTTGTGAAGATCAGCCATCAATCTTTCAATATAGGATTTCTCAGATTTTCTATTCCTTATGCCCATTGGAAAGGACAAATAAAATCATCAAAACCTTTCATGAAACGGATACAAATGGACCCAGAGCATAGAACAATTATTCCTGAAAAAAATAGCCGATTTTCTGTGGTGAATTTTTATTTTAATCTGCCCATCACTGTTATTTTGTCTGGCAGAATTTAGGAGAAATCTTAGAAACATCTGAAATCCCACTGCAGATCCTGAGCCTCAGCTTGAGAAATGCTGCCTCAATAACTCCCCAGATGTAGTTTGCTGAGAAACACATCTGAGAAATCCATCTGTCTCTTGGAATCCATGAATTGTAGAATCACAGTCAACTTATTCCAGAGTCAAAGGTCAGCAATGGGGAATTCCCAACCTTCTGATCATCCAAGATTTCCAATCTCACAATTTTTTTAAAAAAGTGCTTGGGACAGCTACTTCTTTTATTTATATGCCACCCAATCTCACTATCCAAAGTGACTCTGGGCGGCTTATGGTTTATAATGTTCGCCAGAAAACCAATGGCCAGTCATAATTTATCAATCCTTCTAGAGATGCCTTAGTTTGATTTTTTAATCATGTTTAAATAAAACATGGACATCCGGTAGTTTCCAACACAAAATGCACTATGAAAACAAGAACAAAAGACAAACACTATAAAGCCACATAAGCAACACAGAGAAAACCACCAGTGTTCATTTGTTGCTCATCAAGAAGGGCTTTTTCCTAACACTTTTGTTTCATTCACAAAATAAAACCATTTCTACTCCATAAAGAAAAAAATAATTAGTTTTAGGTCCTTTTCATTATGAGAATCTATCAAAACCACTTTCTTTACTCTGTAATTGAGCCTTTAATTAGGTGTTGCTGTTCAGTCTGGACTACCAAAACTGAGCCCCATTTAGTGAATTAAAAACTGTCCAGTTCAAGCTAGACAAATGAAATATCATTTCCCACAGCAAATACTTCCTGCTCACTAGGGGCTGTTTCCTGTTTGAGACAAAAAATGTTCCTACAACATCAGAGGATTTGTGCAAAGTAATTATTAGGCAGTAGTGCAGGATTTATTATTGGATTGTCCTTTTCATTTAAGAAATCCCCACAAAGTCTTGCTATTGCTTTAAAATGACTCAGGATATGCCTAGAACAAAAGCAGCAAATCGTACATATGGATCAGTGAAGCACTTGCCTGCAGCAAATCAACAAAAATTTCAAGCTTTCCATGATTTAACACTAGCAAACAAGGTACAATCAAGAAAGTGTGTGTGTAAAACAGAATTTGAATGCAAGCTTAAGCTCTCTGCCCATTTTTTTTTTTTAAATAGCTTATGTGCCCAACTGAGTCATTGTTTTCCTTCTGGCTGAAATTAAGAAACCTCAGAATTCCAATGAAAAAGTAAAATAGAACCCACAAGCCTGTCTACCCACAATTCTGCTTTAGGACAAAATTCCCAGTGTGCTATTGTGTCTGTACAAAAAAAGTTTCTAATGCAGAAGAAATTTATTTTCCCATTAAGTAAATCAATGAGTCATGGAAAGTTTGCATGTCATAACTCACTGATTTCCGAACTGAGGAATCCATTTTTTGTTTTCTGCAAAATTCCATAGTTCCTCAGGATACAACTGAAAATCATCATCACAAGCGATTACTACAAAAGAGGTATATAAAACTTCCAAAATCTCTTATACATTTGCAATACACAATGGAAAAATAATATTGTGATTATTGACTTAAACTCCAATATCTGAAAAATCTTTAGAGTCTCTTCTAAAAAGCAACAATGAATATACAACTATACTGTGTGTGTTGCCATTTGGGAACAATAGGTAAAGCAGCAGAGAGAGAGGGAGGGAGGGAGGGAGGGAGAGAGAGAGAGAGAGAGAGAGAGAGAGGGAAAGAGAGAGAGAGAGAGAGAGAGAGAGAGAGAGAGAATTGTTATCTATGTTCTACAGTATATGTATGCAACTTCTGCCCACCCAAGAGGCAAACTCTGCTTTGTACAAGTGACACATCCCAAAGTGAAGTCAGGCCCTGTATTTTGGTGATTTAGGTGATTTAAGAAATAAAATGGATGTCTTAATTAAAATAAGTATTTTGCCCTTTAGTCTGAAATCTAAAAAATTAAATTGATAAGAACAGATACTACACTTGATCTTAGCCAAAAGGCTGAGAAGTGGTGGTGCAGTGGTTAGAATGCAGTGTTGGAGCCCAAAATTTCTCTTGCTAAGCGAGATAATTTTGCTTCATTTGAGGATTTTCCTAGCCACAGTTGTTAAATGAATCACTGCAGTTGTTAAAAACACAGTTGATAAGTGAATCTGGCTTGTCCATTGACTTTGCTTATCAGAAGGTCGCAAAAGATGATCATGTGACACTGCAACCGTCATGAATATGAACCAGATACTAAGCATCTGAAGCTTGACCATGTGACCACGAGAATGCTGCAACAGTTATAAGTATGAAAAATAACATAAGTCACTTTTTTCAGTGCCGTTGGAACTTCAAATGGTCATTAAATGAATGCCTATAAGTTGAAGATTACCTGTACGTTGAAAAGAATGTCAGTAGATCAAGATCTACCAATGTAGGTAGATTATCTAAGGTTCTTTTTCCTTCTGGGTCAGTGCAGTTTATTTGCTGAATTTTCTAAGATTACATACATACATGCATATGAGCCGTAGTGGTGCAGTGGTTAGAATTCAATACTGCAGGCTACTTCTGCTGACTGCTGGCTGCCAGAAGTTCAGCAGTTTGAATCTCACTGGCTCAAGATTGACTCAGCCTTCCATCCTTCCGAAGTCAGTAAAATGAGGACCCATATTGTTGGGGATAATTTGCTGACATTTGTA